TAGTTGCATGTGCAGTTTATAAGTGTGCTTGTAAAATAAAATTGAGCGCTGTTGAGCTTGTCCAGCAACTTTGTTTTTGTTGTTGTTGTTGTACAAGAGAAATGAAGCTCAATTTTATTTTACAAGCACACTTATAAACTGCACATGCAACTAATATATTAAATGGCAGACTTGTAAAGCACAGGGAGATTAACATGTTCTCTCATATGGTATGCTTTACACAACCAGAAGCCTCAGGACAAAAATGTACAAAATAGTACACATAGATGTGATGACACAGATCTCTACTACACAATTGGCTTGATGGTAGGAAGCAGAGAGTAATAGTGGGAAGATGCTTGTCGGACAAGAGGCTTGACTAGTGATGTGCCTCAGGGCTCGGTGCTGAGCCCAATGCTGTTTGTTATCTACATCAATGATTTGGATGAGAATGTACGAGGCACGATTAGTAAGTTCGTGGATGACACTAAAATAGGGGGTATCGTGGACAGTGACGAAAGTTATCAGAAATCGCAGCAGGATCTTGATTAGCTGAGGAAGTGGGCTGAGAAATGGCAAATGGAGTTTAATGTAGATCAGTGTGAGATGTTGCATTTTGGAAAGTCAAGTCAAGGTAAGAGTTTTATGGTGAATAGTAGAGCCTTCAAGGTCCCTCTGTTCCACTACTCTCTGAGTTCAGGTGCACAATTTTCTGAAAGTGGAGTCAAAAGTAGAAGGGCAGTGAAGAAGACTTTTGGCACACTGGCCTTCATCAGAGTACTGAGTATAGAAGTTGGGAAGTTATGATGCAGTTGTACGTGACATTAGTGAGGCCGCACTTGGGAGTATTGTGTTCAGTTTTGGTCACCTTGCTATAGGAAGGATGCTTTTAAACTGGAAAAAGTGCAGAAGAAATTTACGAGGATGTTGCCAGGACTCAAGGGACTGAGTTATAGGGAGAGAGTGGACAAGCTAGGACATTTTTCTTTAGAACATAGAAGACTGAGGGGGGTCTTATAGAAGTGTATAAGATCATGAGAGGCATGGATAGGGTGAATGCACTCAGTCTTTTTCCCAGGGTTGGGGAATCAAGGACTAGACCAGTTTACAGTAAGAGCGGAAAGAATACACGGGAACCTGAAGGGCAACTTTTTCCACACAGAGGATGGTACGCATATGGAATGAGCTGCCAGCGGAAGTAGTTGAGGTGGGTACATTAACAACATTTAAAAGGCATGTGGACGAACACATGGACAGGAAATGTTAAGAAGAATATGGGCCAAGTGCAGAGAAATGCGGTTAGCATGGATGGGCATTTTGGTCAGCATGGGCCAGTTTGGGCTGAAGGGCCTGTCTCCGCGCTGTAGGATGCTATGACTCTATATCAACATACATTTCAATAAAAAAAGTGCCCTTCTCCAGTGCCTGAGCAAAAAGAAAGTTACCAACTGTCTCAATCTCTTTGTATTGACTAACAGATTCTTAAAAATATTTAATTTCCATAAGTCTTCCTCATTTTGCATCAGAAGTCTGTGTAAATCCACTGCCGATCTAACAAAAATATTCACGAATACATGTAAAACTGCATACAATAGATGACTCTGATTGGTTATATTTACGATTAATCTGCATCTGGCATTTTGACTTGGTTTTAAATGACCAAAGCTTGTCAATTTCCATGAAGTCCTTGAAATTGCAATCTAATCGTGCACTGTAAATTGTTGCAAGTTCAAGTGCTAATTCAGTATTCTAGTAAACAAAGCATGTCAATTCTAACAGCAGCTAGTTACTGTATCAGATGATATCATCCGCACAGACACAGAGGAAAAGCAAAATACCAACAACATACACACTGCTGATAAGAACTGAGGCAGGTTTTGCTAAACTAATGTACTAAATTTGTAACCATTTTACAGAGCTTGCATGCCACATATACAAATAAACAAAATATGAATGATATTATCTTGTGTTAGTATTTAAATGAATCTGATGATCACTCACTACAGTGGAGTGAAGTGCATCACTAGGATCTCCCCACATGCCCCCTCTCATATTTAGGCTGTGATTCTTATATTACTAAATCTTGGCAGCAGATCTCCTACTTCTCATCAGCACAAACTATTTTCCCTTAAGGTCACCAACTGTTAATACAGCTGATAAATTTAACTGCTTGGCTTTAAACCATATGACAACATTTTCAAATAGATAGTTATGACATGGTAACAGGATGAAAATACCAACAATTTATATTTAGTACCTTTAACATAATTAAACATTGAGATGTTTTATAAGACTATTATAAAACAGAGCATGACAATGCTACATGAGGAAATATCAAGTCAGATAATCATTGACATGGGCAGAAATAGGTTTTAAGAAGTGTTTAATACTGGACAGCGAGGTAGACATGCAAAGAGATGAAGGAACACCAGAACTGGCGTAGTCATGATTTTAGATTCACAGCAGGCTAGAATCATTGATTAAAAGCATTTTTCCCCCCCAAAATGCTTTTCAAGCTACATAACTCCTGTAGCCAATAGAGTACTTGACTCAAATAAAATACCTGGCAAACTAACATGATAAAACAAAATCACTAAATTAGCACAGGAACATAGTATTTTCCCATTCATAAGAAAGTGAACAAACCTTTGAATCCCAGGTTTGCTTATGTTCGGGTAAATAAAAAACAGCACTTGGCAAAATAAGTTTATTCATATCCAAATTAACATATAGTGCCGTTAAACAAACAACAAAATTGTAAAACGGGTCTCAGTTAACTGCAGCTCTAACATTTAAAAGCACTTCAAACATCTTATAACGCAGAGGGATGTTTCCTTGTGTAGCAGGTACTGTACTCTTGTGTAGGAACTGTCACTGGTGATCTTAGTATCTTAAGTGTATTTTTGACTGCAGGGCAGCGTTGTACCTTACTCGCTGACTTTTGCCATCAGCTCACAAAAGGAGACCGAGGCAAGGAATTCAGACATGTGCAGGTCAGATACCGGTAGATGAGATCACTGGAGGCAAGATTCTCAAAAGCCACTAGAAACGTAACATGCACTGCAATTCATTTCAGTGAACGGAGGTAGAAAGGAAGCGGAGAAAACCACCGGGCCCTTGCAGCAAGAATGCGCTCAGCAGGACCACCTGCAACAACGGGGAATGCAAACAAACCACAACCACATTGATAGCTCTGGCAATAGCACAGTGAATGAAGGGCGGATCAATGGGGTCTCCTATTGCACCGAACCTATTGCTGTGCAGGCGGGGAGATGGAGGACAACCGGGTACATCAGTCCATTCCACCCCACCCCAGCCCACCCCACCCCAGCCCAGCCCTGCCGGCGGTACCTGGTGCAGCGCCGTCAACCCATCCACATTCGCATAGTTGATATCAGCCCCGCGGTCCAGCAGCCGCTTCACCTCCTCAGTATCACCGCTCGAGCAGGCGGCCAGGAACACGGCACCATCGTCGAACTTGACTCGGGTCTTCTTCTTCTTGAAGACGGGCGGCTCGAGGTCGGTCTCGGAGCCCAGCCATCGTTTCAGCTGCTCCCCCCGCCGATGTTTGGCATTATCCGCCCGCTTCCGATCATCCGCCATCTTACCCACCGCACTCACTCCCAAAACAACCCCCTCCTCCCCGCCCCCAACAACAAACCGCCGCCGGGCCAACCAACCCGGCGCGCGCTTGTCCTCCCCCCGCTCAACCACCACTCTACCGGCGGTCATTGGACACTGTCCTCCCACTGGCAGCCATTCACCGCGGGCGTTACCGCCCCCTCCATCGACTATTGGCTAATGCCTATGTCGATCAGCCACCTGTTGCCCGCGCGTTAGAGAGCATTGTTTACATAAATTAAAACTGGCCAGAGATTCGACGCCAAGCACAGCGTCACCTGGTGCAAGGGATGAGGCTGCAAATGAAGCAGAGGCGCAGGTGTACAGCGAAAGGTAGATCCATCATGCGTGCAGCACCAGCCGCTATTGTAAACAAACCTGATTTATTTATCTAGGATGTGTGGTTCATCTTACGTCTTAAGCTGCCAATCTGATGTACCAGAGATACTCGGAACTGCAGATGCTGGTGAATCTGAGACAACACAGTGTAGAGCTGGATGAACACAGCAGGCCAAGCAGCATCAGAGGAGCAGGAAGGCTGACGTTTCGGGCCTAGACCCTTCTGAAGGGTCCTCTGATGCTGCTTAATCTGATGTACCACTTTTTTTTTCACTTCTGAATTTACCGTTCTGTTAATATAACTTTTAACAATCTAATTGATTTCCCACAATTTTTCTGCGGTTAGCAGCATTACAAATCAAGCACGCTGATTGTTTTTATTATTGATGTAGGTATATATCTAAAAGAAAGAGACAATTTTGAATGTATGATGCTGGAGCTGTTTACAAAAGCACACATGGCCCACAATTTTATCATCACATCACCCATATTTGCAGAAAAGAACATATAAAAATGGCACTGCAAAATTAAAGACAATTAATGTGGTCGTACAATTGATTCAACAGAAGTCTACAGGGAATTTAATAAAATTCAAGGTGAATTTCGACTTGGATGGCATGTGTGATTAAAAATGTTTTTAAAATTCCTAACTAAATGCAATATTAGATTGGAAATTTACAGAAGGTCAAAACCCGATATTCGATTTGAACCTGTGAACCAAATCAACACGTCAACATTGGTTCTTAAAAAAATCTCCAAATGACATATTATTTTGTAAGTCTTCATACTACCAGTGGGAAAAAAAATCAAATTCTGAAGAAAAATCAAAATGTCAACTCTGTTTCTGTCTCCACAGATACTATCAGACTTGTTGAGTTTCTCCATCCCTTGCTGATTTTATTACAGATTTCTGGCAACTTCTCTCAAAATTTAAAAAATCAAATCAAGGTGAGCCAAAATATTTCAGAATATAATAAAAACATAGATGAAAGATTTTCAAAATCTTAAACTAGTAATATTTAAAAAAAGGTGTTTTTAAAAAAGTTCATTAACATTGTGTTATTTGTGTACAATTTGCCATTTGTTCACGTTACACTTCTATTACTTTAAAATTCCAAAGCATTTTACAACATAAATGGAAATTGCTGATATACGGAATTAAACCCTCAAAAAGTAAGAAATTGATGCACAAAGGGCAGCTGGATTGATGTGTGTTTAATTGGTTAATGCTCCAATGTAAACGAATGTCCATAAAATTATTCATGATACCAACTTATTGCTCTGTCTGTCTGCTAAACACTGGTTCTGGTCAACTATTGCAAACACATCTATCTGCTTTGCAAATTCTATCTATGTGTTCCAAAAATTTACTCTACATAAATGCAAAATATTTTTGAACCAGCATCTGCCAGATTAACTAAGTGTCTTACCAAAAACAGAGGAAATGTTTTAGATGACAAATCAAAAGGGATTCTCACCTGGATTAGTTGTACTTACGTAATTCTATTTTGAATCATGTGATCAATAGAATAATTATTGAGTACTCTCTGCAACCAACCTCCTCCTAAAGGCCGCCAACATATATATAAACATTTACCTTAACTATACTACATAACATTCGAGACGGCAGCTCACCACAACTTTCTCAAAGGCAACTAGGGGCAGGCAATAAATGCTGGCTAGCCAGTGATGCCCACATTCCACAAATGAATAAATAGAAAAAACATGTACTGAGCCCTTGCATCATTATTTTCTGCATATAATGCAGTTACCTGGCAAAAGATAGAGAAATGATTGAAGCATTCCAAATAATAAATCATACCCAAGTAATCATCAGAGTAGGTACATAGTTCTTTGAAAGTTGTGTCACAGCTAGACAGGATGGTTAAGAAGGTGTATAGCACATTTGCCTTCATTGCTCAGACCATTGAATACAGGAGTTGGGACATCATGTTGAGGTTGTACAGAATGTTGGTGGGGCCACTTCGGAGTACTGTGTACCATTCTGCTTGCCTTGCTTGGGAAGGACATTATTCAACTGGAGAGGATTCAAAAAAGACTTACCAGAATGTTGCCGGGACTGGAGTGTTTGACTTATAGGAGAGGCTGGATAGGTTGGGACCTTTTTCACTGGAGCATAAGAGGTTGAGGGGTGACCTTATAGTGGTTTATAAAATTGTGTGGGGCATAGATGATGTGAATAGCAAAGTTTTTTTTTTCCCCTAGGATTGGGGAGTTCAAAACTAGGGGACATTTTTTAAGGTGAGAGGAGAAAGATTTAAAAGGAGCCTGAGGGGCAACTTTTCTCTCAGAGGGTGGTTCATATGTGGAATGAACTGCCGGAGGAAGTGGTAGATGCAGGTACAGTTACAACATTTAAAAGGCATTTGGATAGGTACACGGATAGGATAGGTTTAGAGGAATATGGGCCAAAAGCAGGCAAGTGGGACTAATTTAGTTTGGGAAAATTGGTCAGCATGGACTGGTTGAACTGATGGGTCTGTTTCCGTGCCGTATGACTCAATGATTATGACTGTATTTAAATGACATTAAATTCCAAAATGGCAATGTTTATCAAACAGTAGCTGAAGTGAAATTACAAACTAAAACAATGGGACATTATCCGAAGCACCATTATTCTGCTGACAGAGTTAAGAGTAGAGTGCCTATTACAATGTTAATCATCTAAATAAATTATCTCCAGATTAAGTAGCATTACATCCACATTACCAATTTCTCAGGAATATGATAGGCGTCAGAAAGTAACTTACTGCAAAATAATCAGTGGGGTTGAGCAGTCCCACAGCTTTGGTTGTAGCAAAATTGCATTTCCTAATCTACGATCTAATTGTTTATTTGTGACTTCAACTTCTTTAAGAAACAACGCTATGTTATTATTTTAATGTTATTAATCAATAATAGTTAAAAGTAACATAAGCACACATTGAAACAAATATATTCAGATGATAAACGAAGGTGTAACAATCCTTTTGTACAGCAAGCAATCAGCTATCCACTCTACAAATGTATTAGCCGCCACCCAGTTGTCATTGGAGATCTGTGATATAAGGGATCTCCTCAGCTCTTTGCGGATTCTGATTATTTCTAAAGTTGGTAACAAGCTTCACATGGTAAACACATGACATATTGCACCACATTCATTACCATGTAGGGATTTTAGTTTCATTACTGTGACAGGAGAATCAGCAGACTGCTCCAGTCTTCACATTCTTGAGACATGCACATTTGATTAATTTTTAAAGCTATGTTGAAGGGAGAGGACATTTCCCAACATCATAACAATAATCTCACCATGGCAGAAAACAATCAAAAGTCTTTTGATATTTCTCTGTCTTGTGGAACCTTCAAATTGAGGAGGAGACATGCTACAGAGTACAGCCTTGTAGCAACAGCTTGTTCTTTTATCATGGCAAAGTTGCTACAATGCAACAGTTCTAATTGATTAGAAAACTCTTCCACCCTGACTGCTCGTCAAAAATGATATATTGACAAAGGAATACTTTTGATCATGTTATGAATGCACTTTCTGTGGCCATTAGGTTCTGCTGCACGATTTGAACCTGAAACTCAGAAGCACTGATGCTACCCATTGTGCCTCAAGGACCATCCCTTTCAACGTGCAATTGACAGTCCAACATTTGGTGAGCTAGTTAACATTCTGATTGGATTTTCAACCAACCTTTTACTTTGTATGTCGTGTTTTGCTTTAATGCCTAGAACTGCAGTCATAGAGTCACACAACACTGAAACAAATGCTTTTGATCCAACTGTCCACGCCGACCAGACATCCCAATTTGACCTAGTCCCTCTTGCCAGCTGAAATTATAAAATATCCAATTGACAAAACAGAACGTGTCCTTCAAAAATGTCTTTGATCCATTGAGCTAAGTGAAAGGTGTAGCTTCATATTACTTTGGTTATGCCAACCCAAACACCCAGTTTGATTGTCGTGCTTGTTTCCTGGATTTTCATGTTAAACTGTATCAGATCGATTTACCATATCGACTTTTCTACAAATTGCTGTGAAACAATTTCAGTTTTTTAAAAAATTGCAGTGTGGGAATCAGGACCAGAATATTCATAGCGGAATGTCCGGTTTTGCTTTCAAGTGTACAAGCGTGTCAACGTGACTGACTTTGCGTAACCATATCACAGTAGAAAGATCCTGATAAGGATCAACACGCTCCTGTTTCACTTATACATTAACTCACCAATTTAAAAAATGATTCAATTTATCCAAGACGTCAATAATAAAACACAGTACTGTATACGAAATGAAAATAACAACCGATCGTCTGCAAACAATCATTGCCAATGTGTGGTTCGGAGACAATTTCCAACAGAAACAGGCAGCGTTTCAGAAGTTCGGGGGTTAAATGCTGAAAGCAGGGCCTGTCTAATAAACAGTCACATAATCTAAACTGATATTTCATATTTGAGCAATTCTTAGCAACAGTATGTAGTAAGTTCAAAAGCAGCGTAGCCCACGATGAAATTTCTCCCTATTGCTTTAGCAGCTCAGCGAGCGCTGATCAGTCTCCTGACGCGTACAGACCCAGCCCCTGTTTCCACTGTGACAGTGAAATGCCTACAGCATACTGCCTCCCATTCGTCCACAAGAATCACCAGGTTTTATAAAGGCACCCTGAGATTACCATGTAGGTCATTTTTCAAAAAAGGTGACCTCTGGCAGAATTGAGGAAGCTGCCCGTATCCTGATTGTAAAATCGTTCAACACAAGGGAGAGAGAATCCCGGCGTGCCATCTTGTGGAAACTTGCTGAAATACGGAAATGAACATTCATTTACAATCCCAAAGGCATTAGCAATAGTCACCCGCTGTCATAAATCCCAACACCGCCATTAAATACTTCGATAGAATTTTTTTTAACGAATTGGGCGGATTTTGGCTTGGATAAAAGTCCACTGTAATCTTAAAAACATTGCAAGGGGTTCAACTAAAGAATGTGAACCATTGATCCCAGAGAAGTCAGTCACGCAAGCGAAAGTTCTCAGATTGAACACGGACTGCGAGCTTCGGACTCCGTTCAATGAAACATTTTCACGAAGTGTTTTCAGTCTTAATTTCAGTACATGAATTTTTTTCTTTTTTTTTAAATGTTGACGCCTTGTTTTTAAATTACATGTCTTCAGTGGAGCAAAAGGTTAGCAGCAGCACTTTCTCCCCAGCCAGTTATATAGGGGGACTTTAGCAACTATACAACATAGGTATTTTTCTTTCGTTCCTAATATTCGTTTATTCTGTATGTGCATATAAAGCAGTACATGTTGCTAACGACACTTGTAATTTCAAAAATATACTTTATTCATAAAATTATGTACATACATAGTGAAGCAGTTCGGCTGTATACAGTAGTAGCACATGAAGAAACAAAGAAACATTGAAGTTTGACTCTATCCAAACCAAAGGCATTTCTTACTTGTACCAGATTATATTTGCTTATATTTGAGGTATCGGGAAGGTCCCAGAACTAAACAGAGCCCCATTTAATTTCTAACCACATTGATCCCTGGTAGCATTTCTGTGGCCGATGCCGGAACTTCAGCATGAAACGTGAGAGTGCATATAATTCAGGTTACTGCCCTGATAATTTATCAGTGAGAGTGATATTTCTGTATTCTTGCACAATTTGCATCGACTAGTTATTTGTTGAAGGTTTAATTACGTTGCGAACCCCAGCGTGCTGAACTATATTCAGTTGTTGAATAAGATATTTTCTAAACAACACTTTCAGATATATTAATGCACACCTCTACGGGAAATCAGTCTTGAATTCAGGTCTCCTGACTCAGAGATAGGGACATCACCACCGTACCAGTGCCCTAAAAATGTTAGTTATTGCTGTTGTTTACATTCACTTTCTAAAGGGTAACTGCAACCTTTTGTTGGTAAATTTGATCTGGTGAATCAGTATAGGGAATTTTCAGCACTTTCGCCATTCCAATTGTGAAATATTTCAGCTTATTAAACTGTCAAATCCAGCAACTGTCCTGTGTCAAGTCTTCAATGAGATCGTTGGCGATCGGCGTTTAATAATTTAGAGAATTCATAATTTTACAGAACTGTTTCTCTTCGCAAAGCATTAGGCTCGGGTGCAGCCGCGACACACCACTTACTCAGTCACTGCTTTGAAATGAATTGTTCAAAGTCTCCCCACCAAAGGACGAAAAAGAAGCGATAAAAGTAGGCCGTACTGTTGTCTGTCCCTTGTGGCTCTTGCTCAGAGACTTGGTCGCAAAACGCTCAGGCGTGTCTTGGCTCGTGATAAGCTGCGAGCCTCAAAAGTAAGGACCCAATTAAAACCGGATAGAAATAATAGCTTAAAAATAAATGATCTTAACAGCATCAGCGGAATAAGCTAACGGAGAAGAATGAAATAACGTTCAAATTAATTATTTTTCTGTTTAATTTTTAACCAATCCAACTTTAATTTTTGTTTTGCAATTAACCATGCTTTATTAACAAGAAAATTCACGGGTCATTGTGAATTCCCGCAATAAAATCAACAAAATAAGCTGAGCCAACCATTCAACATTCGTTAGCCAAAATACAAGACTGATTATGAAAACTTCATAAATTCAAGTCTTCAACAGGCAAATCACTCAGGACAAATTAAAGGATTTAGGATAATGGTCTTCCATTCAACTTGTTAACCCAGAAAAAATATGCATCCTCCCAATGTATTGTCCCACTTTTCTTTTGGTTTAAAAAAAACAATCCTGGAGTTTTGCTCTGGCTCCTTGACTGTAAACCAGGGGAGGCAATGACTGTTAACCAATGACGCAGGTATTGTTCTGGGGACCTGGGTTTAAATCCTGCCATGGCAGATGATGGAATTTGAATTCAATAATACAGTAATCTGGAATTTAAAGTCTAATAATGACCATGAACCCATTGGTTCACTAATGTCCTTTAGGAAAGGAAACTGCCATCCTTACCTGGTCTGGCCTACCTGTGACTCTAGACCCACAGCAATGAAGTTGACTCTCAGCTGCAATTAGGGATGGACAACAAAAACTGGCCTAGCCAGCAATGCCATCATCCCACTAATGAATTAAAGGAAAACAGTCCACATGTCAATTTTGCTTTGTGTGAGGAGCTGCCTTATATGAATCGTAAATGTAGCATTAGCATTTCCTCACATGAATCTGAGATTTCTCAGTATACTGTTACAGTTTAACTTGAAGTAACACTGGATTAACCTTTCCATGTCAACAGTGCCCTCACTGGGACTCTCAGTAACCACCGTGGTTCAAGTAAACCATGTTGCTTGGATCAAGCTAGTGAGCTGCAAAGTATTACCAAGGTCTTGCTGCGTATAGTCACAGATTATTTCAGATTTTGAATGGTGCTGACCATTGTGCAATCATCTGCAAACATTCGCTCTTCTGACCATATGGTGGAGGGAAGGTCATTGATGAAGGAACTGAAGGTGGTTGGGCCTAGAACGCTACCGTGAGGAACTCTTGCAGAGATGTACTGAAGCTGAGATGAATGACCTCCAGCAATCACAGCCACCTTCCTTTGTCCTAGGTACGACTCCAATCAATAGAGAGACTTTGTCCTACTTCAATCACATGAAGATGTTAAATGAGTTAGAAAGTAACAAAGGTGTGCTGTTTGATTTCTTGGTCTTTTGTATCTGAACAAGAGATAAAAAAGTAATTTCACAAATGTTCTTGTGACTTATCTGGTAGTTTTATCTCCCTCCTTGTGGAGTGGCATGTAATATCTGTCTTTTGTCATTTTGCTGCCTTCCTGTTATGGCCAGCCAAAATTGGGAACTTCCTATTCAGAAAGTGAGACCTCAATCCCTTTAACCAGGCTGATTGTGTCAAAAGCTGCAGAAACTTTGATTCAATGAACATTTGTTAGAAAATAAGTATATATTCCTCACCATTCTCTTCAAGTCTGTTCAGTATTGTTTGCTTTTTAAATGGCTATAAAGTTTATCAGATAATATTCATGCTAACAGCCTTTTCTGCTACTGTATAAAGTGTCTTTGCCAATAGCCTTGGCACTGATCCTAGTTAATGCTTGCTTTTATTATTAACCAATGCAATTCTGCCAAATATCTCAAGTAGCTTTGGCAGTAGGCTCCACATTAAAAAAAAATTATAATGAGCTTGCATGTGTAGGACACATAGCATGAATATATTAATAGCCAATCTCTGAATCTGGTTATGGTTTAAGATTATTTTGATGCCATTATCACTGAAATAATCATAATTGTGTGTTACATATATCGGATTAGTCAACTGTTAAAGGAAACAAATGCAAACAAACTTGGAGGGTTTAGTTTGATGATTTACACTGAATACTATTTTCTAGCCATCATACACACCAATAACATATCTTGCACATTTACCTTAATGTTTAAAAATAATTCTAGCAATATTTTTAAGTAGTACAAAGGATAAGAACCAATGGAGATTGTATATATAATTTGTGTCAGATATGTCTGAAGCCAGCTATCTGAAATGAGCATATATCTAAGATGAATTTTTTTTTCAGTTATAGGTTTAAAGTTTAAGAAGAAAAAAGATGCATGATCATGCAAATGCATCAAAAAATTGTATTGAGCTACCCAACATTCAGTTTTCCAACTGGTATATTTTCC